AGGAGACTTTAACTTTTAGCAAAGTAATTTTTTGGTAAGATACTTGTACTTTTACTTTACTTGTACTTTAGTGTCACTTTGTGGCACTTTATTATCAGATACTTTAAGACTTTTACTCAGGTAATATTCCTATAGGAGACTTTAACTTTTACCAAAGTAATTTTTTGATAAGATACTTGTACTTTTACTTAAGTATAACTTTTTGGTACTTTATACAACACTGATTTATGCATTGTGTAAACCACTGCCAACCTTTTTCATATTATTCTAAGCTTTGTTTGTGTTGATAAACAAGTAATAATTAGAGATTAATTAATTATCTGTGGACACTCAGCTTTAGCTCTAGCTAGTTTCAACAGCAAAAAAAAAGGGGGGAAAATAATTTTTACGAAAACATCTTCAATAAAATGAACATGCATGCAGCACTGCATGTGTCTGGAGGTCTGATGACGACCACTTCACAGCAGAAGTCAGTATGACTGCTTCACCAAGAACAGCTGCAAGTGGTGATAAGGGCACCATTCAGTTCAGTGGGGTATAGTGGCCATGGCAACTTCAGCTGGTCACRTTAAAATCATAGTTGTTAGCAATGATTTTTTTCTTTCCTTTTTATACAGCTTCAAGTAGAGATGAAAATGCATTATTTATTAATTTAGTTTTATTATTTACACTATTTTACTGCCAGGTTTAATGCTAACATCAAACGACCGTTAAACTGCAGTTTGCTTCGGTGCACATTTTGATTGGCTGTAAAAAAGCAAAGATTGTTCTCGTGTGGTTTAGTCGAAGGATCTTCTGCTACAACTTTTGTGATAATTGGACAGAATATTTAGTTAGCCACAAATGTTCTAACCTTTAAAATCCAGTTTTGACAGGTGAGACGGTTATGTTGACATAACAAGTGCTTGTTTCTCTGCCTGGAGATTTCTTGTGATATTATGAAACACGTGATTTAAGGATTTTCTAAAAATCATTTTCTGAAAAAAATAAAAAAATAAAAAACCACGACAGACAAGTTGCCAAAGAGAAAGAACATAAAAAATGGTGAAAGAAAGTCTATGTGTCAAATTGTACTTTAGCAAAATATGAGTTGTGACTGAAAAGATAAAACCATTTGCATAGTTCTTTTTAAATCATTTATTTCTTTGCCTTTCATTGTCATTACTATTTAGCACAGATAACTCAGTAGACACATCTCTGTTCTGTCTACAAACCACATTGACATTCATCACGTTTCTTTTGCAGCCTTATAGAACAAATAGCAATGAGAAAGTCCACATTTAAAAGATAAAAACCTCAGTTTTTCTGCAGTGTTCTGTGACTGATTCAAAACAAATGTAACACTTCCGGTAGAAATGAAAGAACAATTACAAGATTTAGCAAAGCAGCGGCACCCTGAGGTCAATTTGTCTGGACCCTGTTTCGTAGAGCTTGATGCTACTTTTCAAACACTGACATTTAGCAGCGCATCAGTTGTTCACTCTAATAGCGGCTCATTCCAACACAAAGGAGCACCTCCTGGCATTTTGATTGCAGTGTGGAAGCAGGTCTCTTTTACAAGCTTTGTTATCTGCTTAATTCCTTTTTTCTTTTGGAAGATCCATGGGTCATCTTGTTTGCACTGCTCTGGTCAGGCCACAGGTTTTTCCTTATTTTCAGACCTGAGGGACTGAAATTGAAAACCTTAGGCTGCACCTATTAAGGTAGTCGTTTGTGGGTTTTAAATTGTATTTAAGGCTATTACTCACGTTTAGATCAATTTCTATTGTCATTTTTAGTAATGTTAGGGATGCTTTACCTTGATAAATTGGTATTCTATATAAAATTGTTTTCATATTACCAAATTAACCTCATTCACATTTGAGTCTTGCCCCCCACAGCTTGTCCCTGGTATTTTGTATCCAACCTTTTACCACCCTGCTCTGTTCGTTAGGCGCAATCTGCCGGCTTTACACCTACTTCCTCTTGAGTTTTCAGTGCGCACAATGAAGGGCCTCTATCTGAACATGCCTTTACTTCTGCAGAACATTTTAACCACACACAAACACATAGTGTTGCAGCAGCAAGTACTCGAAGTAGTGTGGGGAGCAGACGGTGCCATGCAATTAAATGTTGACATGGTCGATGGTGGTGGTATTGTTTAAAGACACGAGGTTGCCAGGCGGTCTAATTAACCGTTGCAGACTAGTGAGTTCTTCCCTCCCCAAGCAAAAGCTGAGCTACATGTAAGTAAAAGTAAAAAACAATGTTTTGACAGTGCTGTACAGGAAAAAAAACAGGCATGTAATGGTGATTTATAGTAGCAGTAAAACCAGGGGAGGTGTTTGAGAATTTCTGGGGATGATGATTTGTCAGTATCAGTAAATGGAAAGTTGCTAAGCATGAGCAAATAGGAGATGCTGACAGTATAAATAGCACTGAGCAAAAACACTTTAGTCTGGAAAAACAATTTACTGTTTCCTAAAGGGAAAATATCGTGCAAAATCTACTCTTTTAGCAGTTAAATGCATTTTGTTGTGTACTTGAAGCCTCAGGAGTGCAGAAATTTGAATTTAGTTTCTGCTTGTTGATATCTTTATACATTTTCTGAACTATTACGTCAATTTATCAGTGACGGTTATAAAATATAAAAATAAAGATAAAAATAAARTTTATTAGTGACAGAACTGCCAAATAAAGTCTTAGCAGCTACAATTTGGTCGTGATCATTCTCCGCTCTCTCTGGGTCAGACTCTGGATCCAGCATGTAAAGCTGGATGGACAAGTCTTCCCTTCTTGACATATTTTAATTCTTTGTAAATTAAAAGTTTCTGCACCGCTATAGAGTCATAAACCCCTCTATCACAGTGGTTTTCAACCCTGGTCCTCAAGGCACACCGTCCTGCATGTTTTAGACGTTTCTCTGCTTCATCACAGGTGTTTTCAATTGATCACTGGCTTTTGTTGAACTGCAATCATCTGAATCAGCTGCGTTAAAGCAAGGAACTCTTAAAACATGCAGGGCAGTGTGCCTTGAGGACCAGGGTTGGGAAACACTAGCTGTGTTTCCATTGCAAATGTACGCAAAACTTTGTCAATATTCTGTAAATATCGAAAAAACACAGTTTCGCAACTGCAGTGTTTCCATTAAGTAAGAAATGCTATTAAAGTCACGCGTGAATACGCTTGTTCTCGCGATAAGTCATTACAAACATGGCTGCAATGGATGTAAACACATAGCATATTGCTACCACGACACTAGCGCTCATCATTAGCCATCAGAGGACACGTCGGCATCTTATAGAGGCTTTCGAGTGACAAGCTCCTTATACTTGGGAGTGGCTATGCTGCGTTTTTGGGAAAATGTAGTCGGTGAGTTTAATACTTTCTTTTATTACTTCGGTGATTTCACTACTACTTTTACTTCCTGTTATCTTCTTCTTCACCGTCTTTTTCGCCAGTAGAAACAGCCGGTTCTTGATCACGTGACTCCCGTGAAGGGAAAAAAGTGTTTCCATTGCAGTTTTGCGAAATACATCAATTTCGATACGGCTGAAAAGCCACCTCTCCCTAGCGCAAAAACATTTTGTCGAAAAACGTCAAATTTTTTCGAAATTGACGTGCTTCCATTAAGCAAATTTATTTTCGAAATTCTAATTTGCGCATTTTCATGGTGAATGGAAACGCAGCTACTGGAATGAAACGCTCTGGAAGCTGGAGTGGGGGCGGGGTGTGAAGGGCATAGTTTGCATTTAAAGAGACAGCCTCAAAACGAGTTACTTTGAGACACCTCAGAAAAGGGGTAAAAGAGGGGCTTATGGAGTTACAATAAGGAGGAATTCAGAGCAAAACATTGCAGTTCCACTTTATATAGACCCCAAATGAATGATTTAAAAATATGAAAAAGGATTTTAAARCATGGTATGTCTCCTTTAAATCACATTTTCCTGTAATTATTGCATCATTGCAAAAACATAATATATATATTTATATATATATATATAATAATTTGAGTTTACTAAAATCCTAGTTTTGAACTCTGACTCACTCATCACCTTTTTTCAATATTGCATCAGTGTTGCATGAAGAAGCTGTCTGCTAAAAAAGCGACATCTCCCTAAAAAGCRTTCAGATTTGTTGATTTTCCCATTATAGCAAAAGCCCTCCTTAACTTTTCAACCATATGTTTTTCACCAAGATGACGAATGGCTGTTATTACAACAGCACTGTGTAGCGAGTTAGATCAGTCCTATTCTCTCGCATGATACGTCTGCAGAGGCAACATTCCAAAGAGCACTTATGAGAAAATGGCAAATGCATCTAAAAACAAATTTGTCTTTTTGTTTTTTTCTCTCTCTCTCTTTTTCTTACGTCAGATTGAAGGAGAGGACGAGCAAAGACGTTCCGACGAGGGCAAGGCACGTTACGTCCAGAATAAAGCAAAGAGACTCGCAGACAAAGAACGCCGACAGTGACCTCGAGGTTCACAAGACTCAAACATGTCCAACATTATTTTATGACCCCCCCCCCCCCACAGTATACACAATATGAAGGAGTTAAACCACCTCTCTTGCTCTGATTGTAGCCTGTTAAGCTTGTTTCTTTGAGCATTATTTTTCCAGCTGTGCTACAAGCCAAAGTGTTCAAATATAACTGCGTACAATATTTAAGTGAAAGTACTACTTATTTTATTAATGTGTGAAAACTGTTCTTAAAGAGTATTAATGGAAATTAACCGTAAAAGTAAGAGCGCTATATTTTTTTCCCCAGAATATCTTTAAGTAAAGACATTGCACTGATTTTGTTGCAAAAATGATACTCAGAGTGTGAGGGAAATGATGAATAAGTGAGTGAATAATGATAAATAAAAGTATGAGTCAGAGGCTCTCGCTGCGTGTCTTTGCTTGTTTGATGATAATTATGTCATTGTCGTTGGCATGTCTTGGCAGAGAGGGCACATGTTATCCATCTTTTCAGCACCGTGTCTTTCACAGAGAGCATCACAGGAGCTCAGGGGTTTTTGACTCATCCAGCATCTCTCCAGCATCCCTGCCCCCTCCTTCCTCTGCGCTCTCCTTTTTTTTCCCTCTTCCTCCTCTGTGTGTCTGTCGCACTCTGACTTCAGCCTGTGTCATGTTCTCACCCGTCTCCATTCTCTTTGCAGCGTTGCTTTCTCGCTCATTCAKTCCAGCTGTCCTTCCTCCTCTAGTGTACCATCTGCCCGCCCTTGCCTTCTTTTTCCACAGGTGAGATCTGAAGATTGTTCCCTTTCCGAGAAAGGGAAATGAAGGGAAAAGGTCGGCCATTAAATGGATGTGTGCGTGGTTGCAAAAGGTAAAATGGATTAGGCAAGTGAAAGTCAAAGTTTGTAACATGACTGCAGTGATTTAGGCGAAACATTTGTTTTTAATCTTTGCTTTAATTTCTAAAACTTTTACACTAGAACCTGACTTATTTTTAGAAGAAATGAACAAAACAAAGCAGAAACACTTCTTTYTTTTCTTTACATTTCCAAACAGGAAATGACTTTTTGTTATGGCATTTGCTCCCTTTTTCTTATCTGAACAGAAAATCTTTGTCATTGGATCTTGAAGGTTATTGTTTTTCCTTCCGTTCCTCCAGCCAGCGGAGTACGTGTGCTTTTCATTTCCCCCGTGAAAATAAAGTTAGGTCCAAGCTGCACTGGAGGGATWAATCTATTTTTAACCCCAATAAACTGGAGGCATCTTATAGAAGAACACAGGGGAGGGAAGATGATGGGATGTAGTTCGGAAGGCAAGACCAGACCTCGAAAAAAACAACAGCTTGWTGAGCATACGATGTATTTACCTGTTCCTGCTCTGAAAACATTCAGAAAAACTAAATCGCCGTCATTCATAACAACATCCATTATTGTTTTCAGCTGTTTCAGCCGATGCCAGCCGTCTTTTTTTTGAAGCATACACACATTACAGTAGCCATGGTTACAGTACATGGAAGAGCTGACTTAAAATGGAAGAGAAAACATTTTCAAAAAAATATTTTTCTTTCATGCAATAAACATGTTTCCAACAAAAATTGCATCATTGGAGAGTTGCATGAAAATACTCCAATACTATTTATAGACTAAACATGATGACCCCCCGGTGATTTGAAGCTGCTTTTCCCACCAGAGAATAAAAACGATGAATGAGGACAAAACGCTGATCTCATATCTCCACTTATGTCTTTGCGTCCAAAGCCGAGGATGGGAGCACTCTCGTTGCCGTACCCCAGAGAGACTGTCGGGGCTGCTTTTATAAACGATCCTCTGGTGCAGCAGGGAAACCATTAAGCACTCTGAAGAAACGGTAATAGACGAAGCGAGTCAGCATTCAATAAAAAAAATAAATAAATAAATAAAAATGCATTTTATCACCATGCAACTTTGCATTTTCCCCTGTTGTGCTAATAGCTAAAGGAGGTCTCTTCAGTCATTTTCTGGCAGCAGTGGCTTCGCCTCCGCACAAGAGACAAAACGCATCGACCTGAACTGCGAGCGGGTGTGCCTCGGCCTCGCAAATAATTCTGTCGATAGTTCTTTGCGGACATGCTTTGGTTCAGTTTGCTGGCAGAAGTTGCCCATGCTTTAAGACAAAAACCTCACATAAAAATAAAAATAAAAAAAGAATCAATGCTGCTTTTATTTTAAGTAGTTTTACTTCATAGAACAGAGATCCATGCCCTGGATTTCAGCTTATCTGGGCATGGAGCCAGCAGGGCTTTCCCTGCAGAGAGAACAACGCTCCGGACTTCTTCTTCTTTCTTGAATCTTCCTTTCTTTTGACGCTACAGAAAAACTTATCAAAGTTTTGCTATTTTAATTATAGCATGAGCATGATCTCTTCATGAGGAGGTGACAATTGTAAGCAGTGTTACACTGAAAGAGGGTGGTGTGATGAGAGATGCAGCTGATGGTGGGAGTGGGGGCAGCGTGGTGCCTGTGGAGCCAGTGGGTGGGAACGCCTTCTGTTACTTTTTACTTCCAGGTCACCGAGCATCTCACAAACTTCTCATCCCTTTGTCTTGTTGATGCACTAATCTAACTTTAATTTTCACCAACAATCTTGCCCATGTGCCTCATTATACTGCAATAAATACATTTTCAGAAAATCAAACTTTAAGTTATTGTATTTATTATTAATGTATAATTATTGTATATCAACAATTTAAAAGGGTTAGGATAATTCAAAAAAGTAACTGATTCAGAATTACTGTCAAAACATAATGCTACTTTTCTCAGAAAACTACATCGTTTGATAAAAACGTCATAAAATGTGAATGCTTTAACGTTATTACTCATTTATTTACAGCCTTCCTTAATTAGTTTTCTTTTTTTCACAAATTAACTTGCTGATTGTGCACACAATCAAGTTTTATTTTTCAGTGTTTCAGAGGTTGTTTCATCAACAAGTGTTCTTGCTAAATTGAAGGAATTCTCTCCCCCCCAAAAAGGATTTATTTTTCAGTAGAGAGCATCTTTACATATTTTTTTTTATTAAACGTGATGTCAGTTTTATTCACTGGYATAAACCATTCAGATGCCAAAAGTTTTCTTGTTTTAATCAGCAGGAATTGCAGTGATTTATTATGCATGTATCGTTGTGTGATTCTGTTGTTATTGAACAACTTAAGGTGTTTTTTGTCACACAGCCTACAATCAATAGATCAGGTTTATCCTGGAGCTTTCATTCTAGCAATTAACTGGATCAGCTGTGAATGCTCTGCTTTATTTCTTTAAAGAGGCTCTTCAGACTGGCTGTGTTCTGCCTGCCTGCATGGGCAGCAGCTCCCAGGTGGAGCTGAACGCATCACAGGCTTTTTTTTCTTTTTGCTTTTAATGAATGGGCGGCAGGAGACTGTGAACTGCTCATAGCACCATTCAAGAAATAAATGAAGTAATCCTCACAAATGTGGCGAAAATGAAGACGCAACTGATCTGTCTTTTTTTCCCCCCCCCATGTGGGCCTTTATATGCGTTCACCCCTTTTGTCAGTGGGTAACTATGTTATAGCCCAGGGGTGCCCAAACATTTTCCCCGAGAGGGCCAAAATGAAAATCTATCCATGGCTGCGGGCCAAATAGTATAACACATGAAATACAAATACTTTTTAAAGTAAAGTCCTTTATTTTTAACGATTAAGCTATGCAATGGCCCTCTTTTGTTTTAGTCTGTGCACTTGGAGAAAGTCTGCCATACGCTCAAGTAGCAAAGGCTCATGGGACATTTCATAAATTGATAAAATATGAGTTTTTGTGGCCTTATAAAGTGTGCAAATCTACATGTGGGGTTAAATCTGATCTAAATATTTCTTGTCATTTCATGTTTCATGTTTAATCCTAATAAATTAAAGATAAATGAAAACTGAAAACTACCTTCACTACAGCCCTTTTATATGCACCATGACTGAAAACTACCTTCACTACAGCCCTTTTATATAGTCATTTGACCAATGGAAATACTGTTTCTACATAGAATAACAGGTTACAACCTTGTAAATTTGGCAACTGTTGGTGGGCCAAATTTGGCCCGCGGGCCCCACTTTGGGCTCCAGTGTTATCAAAAGCTCTAACTGAAAAAAAAACAGGGATGGCCATCCCTGTTTTTTTTTTTCAGTTCCCCACTAAACATTTACATTTCCCCACTAACATTCCCCATAAACATTTCAGTCCGGAGTCTTACATAAATCAGGTAATGTCAATGAAATCTACCTTTCTTTAAAAAATACATGAATATTATAGGGAATTAACGTGCATCAATGCAACTGATACGAGGGTAAAATGGAAATAGAAACATTTATTTAAGCACTCCTGCATGAATCTACTGTTGTGTCTTTGTGGCAAATGAGGCTCGTTTTTATTCACACAAACGAGCCTGTTTTTCCCTTCATGTCCGTTCAAACGCATCAGCGTCTTTGTGTTTCTCTTCAAAGCGGGAGTGAAACACGCAGAAGCAGCTCGAGCTCAACGAGAACCTTTTTTTTTTTACCCCCTCCCTCCTCTATGAATTATTCCTTATTGCGGCTCACTCCCACGGCCACGGTGCGTCTGACTCACGAACGCGCCAGCGGTTTGTCGCGGGAGCGCGCGCCCGTCATGCCTCTCTCCATCCGCCGCTCGCGCTCGGAAGATGAAAGAACAACACCGTCTTTTTCCCTCTTCTCAATGAGCTTATCCGCTTCGACCGCTTTTTTGAACAGGAGAAACTACTAAATACATGTTTCCCCTCCGAACGAGTCGACTAATTCACGTTTTTCTCCTTTGAATGAGGCGAATAATAAAAAAACAGGGGGAGCAACAAGAAGAGGAGTAACTACCTACAGCTGATGTGAGGTGTAAGGGCTCACCCCCTTTATTTTGTAGGTCACCCCAACTTGGTGCTGTCGACACTCTTCGTCGGGGAGGATTTAAATCCGGGAAAGACACTTTGAAGGAGTTCAGCTGGCGTGACGAGACGACCGCCTTTCACTCCGTGGGAAACAAAAAGAGCCGCTAGAAGCTTGAAAAAGAGGTAAGATAAGGCAGCTGGTGCTAATTCATAATAGTAAGCAAACAAAAGGGGTGGTGGGGATGCTCTGCAGCTCAAAGTACATTTATTGTTTACCACTGACCTATATCAAATGGCAGGGAATATGGATCGAGAAGTGGCCTTATTATAAGACAAATGGCATGTATCACACACAGACAGGGATCTATGCTGCAAGGCTGGTAATTACTCAGGAAGCTGCCAGGTATTGACAGAGCAATAACCTAGATACTGTAGTGTTCCTATTGACTAAACTGACATGGGGGGGAACAGCCCCCTGAGCATGCTGTAATCACAGTACTGATTAGGTTTAAAGTAGAACAGGCAAACTCTTATTTTGGATGAATGGTGTGCACAGTTTAGCCTCGTCAGGTCATGCATGTTCAGATTCACAACATGAAAACACACAAAATATATATTCTTAGTGTTCATCTTGGAGGTATGTTCTCTGTCCTGACGTCTTAACGTGGAGTTTGGTAAAATAGGAAGTGATGCTGTGCTCCAAATGTGTCCTAAAGTCTCCCTTGTTGCATCTGTTTATTTTTTATTTTTCAAATTAGTGTGACAGATGACAATTAGGCACTTCCCCCCTTCAGATTGTGTTTAATTCGCTTCCTGTCAGARAAGTCAATAAAAAGTAGACGACGTGCAGTTTCAGGGCAAAAAAAACACAAAGCCAACAATTGCTTTCACTGCTCGACACTGTGGCCTGTGTGTGACAGTTGCTGCTACACCAACAGGCCTCGAAACAGATCTCAGTGTTACACGGGGCAAATGTGACATTTGGTTGTCACACGTTTGGCTCTGTCATTTTGTGATTGTGTTAGTCTGCATTCACACTGTCCCATTTTGCACTCACCAGCAGCCTCACTGACTGCCTCCATCTGGACTCAATCATTAAATCGCAGAAATGACACTGAGAGTGTGTTAGAATACTTATTCTCTTTGGAAGACTTTGCATTTTTATGCTAACTTCAAATTAAGTCCAATGCAAGTCTTCTAAGCCAGTGGTTCCCAAACTTTTTATCTTCTGACCCACAAAATATCCATGGCAAAATCCTGTGACCCCAAATATTACTGGTCTGAGTACACAAACTACGTTAATAACCCTAAAAACACAGGCTTTTTGACAATCTAAACAGCTTGTACACAAATATAAATAMTTATTTTTACTTATTTTGTGTTTTTGTAATAATTATAGGGAAAATATTACATCAGYAATTATTTTATTACCCTTTAAATTGATTTCTGGAGATTATCCAAGGTGCTACATGACCCATAATTTGGTCCCAAGCCCAACCTTGGGAGCCAAAATGCAGTGGTTCCCAAACTTTTTCAGCTTTTGACCGACAAAATAACAGTAGCAGAGACCTGTGCCCCCAGCTATGTTTGGATGATAAACATTTGTATCAGGTCAACTAAACATAGTAACAATATTTTTTATACTACATTTATCCATGTTAAATACACTAACCTCACTCATTTGTAACAACTAAGGCAAAAAYGTAATTAATTCAGAAAATATTTTCAGGACCCCACCTTGATGTTTCACGACCCCACTTTGGGTCCCGACCCCAACTTTGGGAACCACTGTTCTATACATGCCTGCCGCTAAAACAAAACCATCTGCCCTAAGATGCCTGGAGATCCGGTTACAATCATAGCTGTTGGTAGCTGATTATGAACAGAACCACAGCCTCTAGGGTTGCATTTGTGATGGAAAACTCAAATGGTCTGTGACAAAGCTGCTCATGAAAATAAGAACAGCATTTTTATGTGGTTTTAGGAGCATAAAACAACATGTAAATTCTGACTTTTAACATCCTTCACCCTTTAAAGGAAGTTTGTAGACRAGTATCATTCTGTTTTGTAGTTTTGTATCATGCGGGAAAAAAGAGAAGCAAAGACAAGTTTTTGGGAATTGATGACAAATGGAAGTTTGCTGTCTCTAATGGCTGAACAGTGATCAGTGTGTATTTAAAGCTTTTTAAAGACATGTCTGAGTGATTCCCCTGGTGCTTTCTTGTTRCAACAAAGCATGATTCTGACCTGCATGCAGTCAAATAATCTGCTCTCATTTCAACATATAAGCTGCTTTTAAGAATTATCCAACATTTAAATAATAAATAAAAAGCACTTTTGTTTTAATGTTAGTCCAATAACTAACTTGTTCTTTCATAGGATTTGACCCATTTAAATGGGACAATGCTGTGCCTAAATTTTGGTTCAGCATCTGAGCTGCAGCTCCTGTCTGACAGATGAGGCTGGACACAAATAAAAAGTAACTGGAGACTGTAAAACCAGTGAAACCTGCCTAACCAGCATTAAAACAAACAAACAAACAAACAAAAAACCTCAAATGTACTTCTCGTTTAATGCACCTCTTCTCAAATGAGGAGTTTTCTCTTTTTAATTTGGTTTGAAAAATATAAAAAACAAGACCAGCTGCCTTCAGTTCAACCTGTTTTAGAACATTTACATGTTCCAAGTCTATATGAATCTACAACAGCATTTGCACTGTAAAATCAAGTCGTATTAATGATTACATCTGACAACCTTAATGCACAACTGTATGATTTGATTTGAATAATGAGAGCAAATAGAGACAAGTGTGGTGAAGGTTTTGTTAGAAAAAGGAGTGGTACCTTCAGGTTTTGTTTGGCTCCCTTTCACCTTGTAACAGTTTGACTGGTTTACTTGCATTATTTATTATATATACAATCAAATACACTTAAGCTAATTAGAGCAGGTTTTACTTACATTAGCTTTTGCTCTGTTTCTGGACTCTGACACGACCCTCTAATCCTCGGTCCATTTGACATATTTGTTTATTTTTATTTATTTTTTTTTTATTTCGATGACTGGAGCTGTTGAGTTTCGGCGGGTTTCTTTTAGCAACTTTAGAAGAGCAAAGCTGACACAAGGGCTCAAATATGGTTAGAGAGCAGGCTGCCAACTTACTCTGCCACCCTGCTGTGCATTAGTGAAATGCTGTGATTAAACAGAAGGGGCATGTGCTCACAACATGTTATTGTTGTTGTTGAAGTCCTTAAGTATGTACACTTGCGTATTTGTTGTCTGTTGTCATTTGATGTGAGCGAGCACTTTACAATGGTGACACCAAAGGTGAGTTACCCTCTGTGGAAAGATGATAATATAGTATAATCTCAACTTACACAAACACATTTGTCTGTAAAATACGTTTATTTTTAATCTTTGAGTCACATTTGAACAACCTGCCACTGGGCCTTTTATAATTAAGAATCTGAATTGTTATTCTTTGCGATGACTGTGACATAGTAAAGTTAATTTGCTCAAATGACACTACACTTAAAATATTGCTGTGAACAAATTAAACGTTTCAATTATTTCAAAATCAATAATGTTGTTACATATTTTCTACTACAGTGCATGCCTGAAGCATTGTGGGTGAGTTTGGAGCCTGAATGAATGGCTTAGACACTTGTAATCTCTGAGCTCGTTTTAAGCAGGGCGTTGGTGCTGGGTATGAATTATTGATTAAAAAATATATTTAAGTACAAGACCAAGTGAAAAAGGAACAAACATTTGAACAACATGATGCTAATTGTCCCATTAGAGCATAAAAACAGCAGCCTCATCTACTTCACCTGTCAGTGGTCATACTGTAGCATCAAACTTAAGACATAATAATGATGCTGGTTTGAGCAAGGAATAAGGTAAATGATAAAAAAAACAACAACTTGAAATTAGTGTGGTTAAAAAAATAATAAAATAATCTGTGTTGCTGCAGTTCCAACTAGCATCTCTGATTGCTAATATCTTTGCTGCCTCAAACTGAATCTATTCATAGTGTTTCAGTAAGGATTTACAACCGCCAGCTGGTGACATTCAAACACCTGCAAATGTTTAAACAGTCTCACAAATTCAGTTGAAAACAGTGACCGTCAATGTGCAGTTAGTTGGTCAGCATCGGACACAATACTGGGAATTTTAAGAGCGATCAGGTAAACAGGGTTTTTTTTTCTGCTCCTTTGACTTTGATGAAGCTAATTTTTTTTCCACAGTTGTTTGTACTTCACTAAAGCAGACTAGATGAAACATTGGATCTAAATGARGCTCTCTAAATATTTACCAGGACTGCTTTGTCTTTGTTCTGGCCCAGTAAAGAGTGGCTTTTCATGTCTGGAGTTGATGCTTTGGTTGAAAAACAAATATTTCATAAGTTAGGTAGTAGCTTATATTAGCATCATATTTTAGAGTCTTAATTTTTAAAAACAAACAATTAAAAAACATTTTAGCCTATTCATTATCTTTTTTTGAAATTATGCAAACTGCTCAACATGTTTTGCTTCTTTTATAAATTAAATCACATTAAAGTATTAAAATGCTTGTAAAATGTGCAGCAGTGTCAGGCGGAAGTATAAAATTGCTATTAGATAAAAAAATGTTAGTTTATGGAGGAAATGCACGTGTTCTGCAGTCATATTTGTTTATTTTTTCCCTTTCTGTTCTGTTTCTTAAAGACCGTTGCAGTTGCTATGCAACATACATAATAAAGGATCAAGTCTGTTAAAACAGAATCTGTAATGTAATAGTTTACTAATAGCTTATCTCATAAAGTGCATGTTGAGCTATAGTATAATAGATTTTTGCAACAATCACAAAGCCAAGTATTTTGTTATCAATAAATATTAGATTTGCAGCTAAAACAGGTCACCACTTCCTGATTTTTAAGTTTTAGTTCATTATGATTATCTGGATGATTTAGGTTGATTTTGCAGATGAGCAGATTAGGGATTTAATGTCTTGACCAGCCATTCAAATGAAGCTACCTACAATAAAGTTGATTTGAAAGTTAACCAATTAGGTCGTAAAGTGGATAGGGGCTTTTAGTAATAATGAATGACTTAACACATCTTTTTTTTTCCACTGGTGTGAGTTTGTGCTTTATGAAGATGAAACTAGAAAGACRTTTTAAGCAAAAGTGATGAAGATTTTGGATG